AAGTGTTCCAAGGCCAGGTTGGATGGGGCTTTGAGCAACCTGGTCTAGTGGAAGGTGTCCCTGCCTGGGGGGGGGGTTGAACTAGATGATCTTTAAGGTCCCTTCCAACCCAACCCATGCTACGATTCTATGATCTCTTCTTATGAGACCACTATTTAAGAGCTGATCATATTCCAACAGCCCCCTGAGCCTTACCCTGCTCACATTGTCCCTTTGTACTGTTAGCCCACCAAAACCACATACTATGGGAGCTCCCAGCACAAAACCAAAACATTTATAGCTACCTCCTTCCTTTCCTTTTTTTTTTTCCTTCCCCTTTTCCCCAAGTAGAGCATTTATCAGCTATAGAAATTGCCTGGTTAGCAACAACCTCAATCCCAACTTTGGTGGTTATCAATGGGGAAAACAAGGAAACCATTTAAATGCTGGAATCAATTTCTGCTTCTCTCCAACAGCTCCCTCTCTCTAACCATCACCCTTTTTCTGCACGCAAAATTGAAAAGGGATGTTCTATTTAGGTATTCTTTAAATTACCCACCTTTCTCTCATTCATTCATGCCCAGATACAATGGAATAATGCCTAGCCTTCACTGTAAAACCACCCATGGCCTGAAGAATAGAGTCACAGTCTATATAGTCACACACAACTGTATTGGGTTTGTGTGGCAAGGTTTTCGTAGCTGGGGGTTACAGGGGTGGCTTCTGTGAGAAGCTGCTAGAAGCTTCCCCTATATCTGACAGAGCCAAGGCCAGCAGGCTCCAAGACAGACCTGCCACTGGCCAAGGCCAAGCCAATCAGCGACAGTGGTAGCATCTCTGGGATAACATATTTAAGAAGTGGAAAAAAGTTGCTGGGGCACAGAAACTGCAGCCAGAGATAAGAGCGAGAACATATAAGAGAAACAACTCTGCAGACCCCCAAGGTCTGTGAAGGAGGAGGCGTGCCGGAGGAGGTGATGTCCCTGCAGCCTGTGGTGAGACAGCAAGCTGTCCCCCTGCAGCCCATGGAGGTCCACACTGGAGCAGATCTCCACCTGCAGCCCGTGGAAGACCCCAGGCCAGAGCAGGTGGGTGCCCGAAGGAGGCTGTGACCCATGGGAAGCCCGTGCTGGAGCAGGCTCCTGGCAGGACCTGCAGACCCATGGGGAGAGGAGCCCATGTTGGAGCAGGTTTTCTGGCAGGACTTGTGACCCCACAAGGGACCCACACTGGAGCAGTCTGTGCCTGAAGGACTGCACACTGTGGAAGGGACCCACTCTGGAGCAGTTTGTGAAGAACTGCAGCCCATGGGAAAAGACCCACATTGGAGAAGTTCATGGAGAACTGTCTCCTGTGGGAGGGACCCCACACTGGAGCAGGGGAAGTGTGAGGAGTCCTGCCTCTGAAGAGGAAGGAGCAGCAGAGACAACATGTGATGAACTGACCATAACCCCCATTCCCCATCCCCCTGCACTGCTGGGGGGGTAGGTAGAGAATCTGGGAGTGAAGCTGTGCCCAGGAAGAAGGGAAGGGTGGGGGGAAGGTGTTTTAAGATTTGGTTTTATTTGTCATTACCCTACTCTGGTTTGATTGGCAATAAATTAAGTTAATTTTCCCAAAGTCGAGTCTGTTTTGCCCAGGACAGTAATTGGTTGAGTGAACTCTCCCTGTCCTTCTCTCAAACCCACAAGCCTTTTGTTATATTTTCTCTCCCCTCTCTAGCTGAGGTGGGGAGTGATAGAGCAGCTGCGTGGTGCTTAGTTGCTGGCTACAGTTAAACCACGACCACTAAATTCCTAGCAAACTACCCATCCATAATCATGGCACTCTGCCATACCATCATAACTAGTTCCAAAAGCTTGCAAAAAAATGACCAGAAGTCACTAGAGGTTTACTCCTCACTCAGCCACATGCTCCAGCTCTAAATCTGTGACTGTTCACTGGCACAGTAACTGTATTTCCCAGCACCTCACTTCTGCAGTACTATTTGACCTAGCTAACATCACGACCAAACCCACAGCCAAACATTTCCATGAGCATGGGGAACAAACACAACCACCTGTCCCCCACAGCATCCTGTAAGGTACAGCAACTGTAATGGACACAGCACTAGCAACCTCCCCAGAAGAGAGCTAATACTTTCTGTTTAATCAGTCTAACTGCACAATTTAGGACAGGACTAGAAACCCTCAACACTAGCTCCTACACCTTTGCATCTTCCTAATAACAATGTAAAACTCCACCCACATTTTGTCTATCTCAAATTCTCACGTACAAGAAGATCTCATATCCCTCCTTGTTCTCATCAGATTCCTCTTTATTCCAAAGAGGGAATTAGTTGATGAATATCCTCCTGCAGCTACAGTTTTAACTGAAACATTAAAATGTGACAGTAAAACAGGAGCTAAAGCCTCCTTAACAACTGAGGGGCTTTTAAACAATAAAAACAACCAACTCTTGCATCCATAACTAAATCCTCAGACCAATCACTGTCAGAAGATAGACACTAAGAACCATGAATCTTGATGCAACTCAAAGTATCCTGAGCACATGCCACTGCAAGAAGATCTCTGAGGCTCAGCCAGTCTTCTGAATATTACCGCTTACTGCTTAGACATGTGGAAATTAAGGACTACATTTAAGGGGAAAAAAAAAAAAAGGTTTTTTTTGCTTTTTCAACACCTGTCCAACTTAGGCTGGTAACAGAATGTCCCAACACTACTGAGGACCAACACGAGGTGTCCATCACCCAGGTTTCAGACATGACAAATCCCTAATGCTCCAGAGAGACAGTGGCTGGAGGGTAGTGGAATGAACAGAACCCTAGAAACCTCACCATGGATCAAAAAAGCAGCAGAAGGTAAAATAAAAGCAATCCTTCCTAGCTGCTGGAATGTTGGAAAATAAACTATAAATAAGTGTCCCAGTTTGGGCTGGGATAGAGTTAATTTTCTTTCTAGTAGCTGGTATAGTGCTGTGTTTTGGGTTCAGTATGAGAAGAATGTTGATAACACACTGATGTTTTCAGTTGTTGCTAAGTAGTGTTTATACTAAATCAAGGTTTTTTCAGCTTCTCATGCCCAGCCAGCAAGAAGGCTGGAGGGGCACAAGAAGATGGGAGGGGACACAGCCAGGACAGCTGACCCAAACTGGCCAAAGGGGTATTCCATACCATATGACACCATGTTCAGTATATAAACTGGGGGGAGTTGGCCAGGAGGGGCAGATCGCTGATCAGGGACTAGCTGAGCATTGGTCAGCGAGTGGTGAGCAATTGCATTGTGCATCACTTGTCTTTCTTGGGTTGTATTTCACTCCTTTTTGTTATCTTCCCAGAAGATATCAGAAGGAGTCCTTGTTCCTCCTCAGAGCCATGTGAGGATCCCATATTGAAACATACAGAAAGGCTCATTTCCCAATCCAAAACCAAATAAAATCACTCATATGCTGTCACACAGTTTGTTCTATAAAAATGTATAAAAATCCTACTTTGTTTGAAGATCTGTTTCATAACTGCACTCTTTTGATAGTTAAGCTTCCTCCTTATTGTGAAGCTCCTAAATTCTCCTAATTCTGAATTTAAGCCCTACTTCCAATTAATTAATAAGCCACTTCACCTTGCAACTCTTTCGGCCACTATCCTGATAAAAAACAAGGGCCAATAATCTTCCCAAAGTACGTGGATGCCGAGTAATTCTGGGAATCATTATGGACTGATTTAAAAGAGACAGCAATATCATTACCAATCTTGACAAACACATTTTGAGAGACAACAAGATCTAGAAAGGTGAAAAATGACCTCTTCTATCTGATAAACACATGTGATATATTCACATTAGCAAGATGCAGTGTCCTAATTACTACTCACCTGCTACGTGACCTCTACTGAAGCAGGTCGCTCCTCCTCCCCATCCTGCCTGTCTCCCTCGTCAGGCTTATAATTTGCAGTTGATGACCTGCAAGAAAATTCAGGCTTAGACACTGAAAAATTCCCCACAGTTCCTACCATGGCTTTGCCTGGGGCAGGTACAACTAGGCTGCTTCGTTGGTCTTCCTGTACCAAGAGAACCCACCAAGCTAAGATATGTGCTCCCTTGCACATGTGACTTTGCCCCTACCTTCTTTTACTAGAATGATATCCTAGGACATGTACAGTTAAACATATAGCCCCACAAGACAAGAAACTATCAACAGGTGTGTGCACTCTTCCCCCAGTTGGCCTACAACTTCAACGGGATTTACATGATAAGCTCACAGGGTTGGGGATTATTCAAGGCACTTCCCAGCACATCCTGTGAGGGCTTTGGGAACAAAAGGTGAAAGGACCACTGACTGGGATAGTACATAGGAATGAGAAAAAAATAAAATAAAATTTAAAAAAATCTTTATTTGTTTCCTTGACTCGGCAAAAACAACCACCCAAGAAGCCAGAAACAAGCTGCACACAGGTTGTTATTTTAACCACTCAGCTTTCAGCTGTCCCACCTCAAAGAATTCAGGCCTTATAACTCACAGGGTGTACAGGCACAGCCAAAAGCCACCCGTGAAGGGCTGTATCAGTGCTGACACTAAGGCTGAGGAGGGTCTGTCCCTGCCGCAGGGCCCTCCCAATGGCCGCCCACCCTGCCGAGCTCCCTCCGCCAGCCTCACGCCACGCACCCCCAGCCCACGGGAACCCAGAAAAACAGAACCCCGCCAACCCGAAGCTCCCATCGGCACCAAACCCCGCGCTGCTCGAGGGTCTCGGGCAGTCGCCTCGGCCTCGCCTCACGCACCCGAAACAGCCACCCTGCCACAGCCAGCAGACGAAGACACACCCCACGCTGACCTGCCCGCTCCCGGCGCCCACCCTCGGCAGCCACAGTCCGCGGGTGCCGCTCAGCCCGGCCTCAAGGCAGGTCTTGACCGCGAGCAAAGGCCGAGCCGCCGCCGCCGCGCCCCTCAAGGCAGCCCCGCTGCAGGTGTGAGAATCTGCCCCTTTAGAAGATGGCGGCCGCAGGCAGCCACTAGGAAGCGCACGAGGGCGGTTTGCCCTCAACAAAAATGGCGGCTGCGGGAGGCGGGGAAACCCGCCGCGCGCCGGCGTTCCGCCGCCTCCCCCAATCAGCGGCCGCCAACTCTCCCGTGGAGGCCGCAGAGCGGCCAATGGCAGGGGGCGGCGTGGAAGCCGGGCGGGGAGCGGGCCAATGGGGCGGTAG